AACTAAAACAACAAAATCCAGTAAAATCCCGCAAAAGTGGGATACCGTACCCCTACTATGAAGTAGAGAGGCCGTTTCCAAGAGACGATCAATAAATATGTACTGTATAAAGCATCATCTAAAAGAAGAATACACTTCACCAACAATAACAAAAATAGTAGACTTATTTGTGACCAAGAATTGCGATAGGATCAATGGTAAAATCCACAATTACCATCAAAGTTTCCATCGACAATCCGAGTTGCATCATTATAATTATCCATTGAAATAACGGCAACATTTGGCATGAAATTCAAAATGTTTTCAGTGAATATGGTCTTCCCTGCACCAGAAGGCCCGGCCAATCCTACCAATATAATCCCATCATTTTTCTGTGTCAACAACTGGCACGCGCGGACTACAACAAAGAATCCTTTCTCAAATGACAAATTATCCGTTATTGGGACAATCTCATATCTATCAGAATCCTTTCTCTTAAACAATCGGACTTGGTCTTTCAATAGACCAGGTCTTTGATGAGCTGATGATGACCCATTGCTAAGACTTTCTTTTGCCATCTTAAGTCAAATCTGTAACACAAAACATAATAATAAACGAGCGGTAAAAAAACCCAAACATCAGTTAAAATACTTCACACTCTTGAACAAATTAACAACATTCATGCTAAAAGATACTCACAAACAGTCAATTCAACCCAGAGACTTTAAACATCATGCAATAAACAACATGTCATAATGCAAGTACTTCTAACATAATTCAAGAACTATTTTATTCCTCTCGATTACCCAAATTCTTGAATGATGAAAGATTTCATTATACTAATCCATGACAATACTAAATCTGGATACAAAATACAACTCCGCAGAATCCCAGGGGAGGAAAAACAGGCGCACTGAAACATGATCGTTCAGCAGGAAACTAAGCAAAAAGAGGATCACCCATACTGGAAATTAACAGACAAAGAAATTACATACAACAAACATACCTTGTAAAAATGCTACCAGAAATACAATAAGCTTAATAAAGCAATAAAACAGAAAATAACAGAAGAAGACGAAAAAAAGAGTCAGACCCAGAAATCAGTTGGATCAAATAAAAATATCATACCAAAATCCAAATGCGGAAGACCGAGAAAGCGACCCGAAAGAAGTATGGGGCAGTGGGTCTCTCCGGTTAGGCGAAAGCTTTGGCCTTTGAGTGGCCGTCTGCGTTGAGGGAGTTTCTTGCCGCCTGGGACTATATATATATATATATATATTTATATAAATGGAGTCTTTTCTTTTTTTTTCTTATATAGCTTTACGTATTTCCAATGTTCACTCAATTATTAGTAGGATTGGAATGATAAAGAATTGAAATTTGGGGAGGAAGAAATATGGGGATTTTCTGGGATCTTTTTGGGAAGTGAGATTTCGGGAGGTTTTGCCACGAACTACAGGTTTCAAGCACTAGAAAGCGATAGAGAAAGCAGTCAGGTCCCAGCCCAGCAGGCCCCAGAGGATGTATATGGAGTACTACGGATGATTTATATTCATTGTTCCTCTTTTCCTTTTTTCTTTTTATGTTTGTTGCTTTAAAAAAAATTTTAAAAAAAAATGTAATGATGACAGGGCTATCTGGTTAACATGCGAAATTAAGATTTTAGAAATATAAGTAATATAAATTTTGTTAAGGTATGATTCATTTTTTTAACTACAATTAAATTGTGGAATTACATAATGTCAATGCTCTTATTTTAAGAATAATAACATGCAGTAAGACATGTTTTGATATAAATATAATGTTTTAGTTCTATCTAGCAGATGCAAAAATACATTATACAAGCTATAGAGTGTTCATTTTAAACATTTATTTTTTACACATACTAAGAGCATGCATTATATAAAAATGATACATGCACATTTGACAATTACAAAGTATTCATTTTGTTTAAAAAAAAAATCTTGAGAATAAAACTATAGAGAGTAAGATTTACTTCATTACTTCTCACGTACTTAGACATGCACATTATAAAATTAGTATATGCATATTTATTAATTACGCAGCACCCCTAGATGTGTACTGTATAATTTGCCCAAATAGCATACTCCCTATGTTAAGGAAAACCCTTCCCATTTTGACAAGGCCAAATTAAGGTAGTATTAAATTGTAATTAACTTTCAATTTTGTCATCAATGTGATTGATAGATTATTAGAGGAAAAGTATGATGCGATAGGGAGTGTAAGAAAAAATATGGATAAAAATAATTTTTAATAGAAAGTGGAAGTTTTTAGTAGAAAAGAAAAAAAGAAAACAGGAAGTATTTTGGTAAAACGAACAACTAAAAATAACAACAACAAAATTTGTTTGCTTCGAAACTTGCAACTTCAAAGTCTTGTAAGTTCGGTGTGCATGTAACATTTTTTCTGAAAACTGTCATCAAATTTTACCATTACAACTGATGTAATACTTTTTCATTCCAAAATTAAACTTTCATTTTTCAATGCTATTTACTCTCTTACAATATGAAATTTGTTCATACATATTTTTTTAATCTATTAAAATATATAAAATTAGTGGTCCAAATAAGATTCAAACTTGTAACCTCCCATTTGGGAGAACAATAGTTATGTCATTTAATCATACTCTTTGACTTTCATTTTTTCCCTCAGCTCTTAGATAGACCTTTTAAAACGAAATTCACATTTTTCAAATGAAAATTATATGATTTATACGTAGTATTGTTTACATCAATGTGTATCATAAATTATCTGTTCCATAAAAAGCATCCACTTTTTAATTTGCAAGCAAATTATAGAAGGTGAAATTATGTAGCTGAAACTGATCAAAGTAGAAAAAAATTATCAATGCCACAAATTTTTTTCCAAATATGAAAAGTAAAACCTTATTTTGAGACAGACAAAAAAGAAAATGTAAATTTTTTTTAATGGAACGTAGGGAGTAATTAGTAAGCTAAATGGAAGTTCAATTTCCACTATTTTTAAGTCAAGTTTGCACTAAACAATACTAAAACATATGTCATTTTCCAATGTACTCCCTCCGTCCCAAAAAGTTTGTTACTTTTAGAAAAAACTTCGTCCCGTAAAGTCCGTTACATTTCTATTAAAAAACCACTTTTACCCCTTGCTTTTTCATACCCTACCTATCACATCATACCTTTTTCCTAATAATCTACCCATCACATCCAACTTTTACTCATCACATCAAGGGTATTTTTGGAAAGTCAATACCAAAATATCTCTCTCTTAATTTCCCAAAAAGTCAAACCGTCCCATTCTTTTTGGGACGGAGGGAGTAGTACTTAAGCTTTTTTTATTCTTTAAATAATACTTAAATAATGTCTAGTGACGGGAAAATAATGTTTAGTGATGGTGGATATTTAGTTTAAACAATATCCAGGCTGGACATTTATTTGAACAATAACCAGTGAACATTGAACTGTGGTACTACATTAGAAAATACGGAGTAAAACATATGGTACTACACACTATCTTTTAGTACTATTTAAGTAAAATTCCCTATTTTTAATACTCCGTAAATTTTTTTAATATAGATAACCCATACCAGTAAATTATACTCCGTAACTACTTGGTATATCTTGTAGTCAAGTAACATTATTAAAAGTCTCACAAAGCAGAGATCACATGTTTGATCCCCCATAAAAGTTGCGTGCATGTGTTTGAACTCTAATGGCATGTGAGTTGGATTCTTGCTAGAAACATAATCCTTCATTTCCTAAATTTTTTCACCATTTGCTTTTTTTAATCAAACTGTTAACTCTATTTTGGTTCAAGTGAGAATGCGATCTTATGAAAGAAATAAGAATGAATCTCGTGCTTTAGATTATAAGATCTAAGGGTCAGGATTGCATCAAAATTAGGCGCACCAAAATGGTTTGAAAATGCGTCATGTCGAAATACATCAAAATCCTTTGAAAATGCACTATCCCAAAATATGAGTGCAGGATGCAATCTGAGCCGCAAGATGCATCTGATCCAAAGACTAGATTTAATTCTTATTTCTTTCATCAAGGTGCATTCTTATCTGAACCGGCCCCTATATATATATATATATATATATATATATATATATATATATATATATATATATATATATATATATGTATGTATGTATGTATGTATATATGTATGTATATATATATATATATTATAATACAGGTATGGATGTAATATTTTGAAACCATGATAACTTTAGAAATAAGTTTTAAAAATAAAGAAATACGTAGTATTAGTGCATATTTTTTAGATCACACGTATTGGTGCTATTTGGCCCCATTTACCATGCGCCGGAAACTTTTGGCCGTGTGGAAAAAGGTTGTATCCACATGATATGGGGCTAGAAAAGTAATTTTCCTTTCGTTAACACGAAAATTTCCAACCAAATGAACCCCTCAAATGGGTCAACACCTTAGACTTTGTTGGCACCACACATAGGCAACATGGCAAATTGACGTTGGAATCTAGATCTCTTTGATTGGACACAATAGTAATAGGCTTTGTCAAAATTTCTTTGCAACTTCCATTATCTTTTCGAGAAATATTGAGGGGACAACTAAAAGCCATGCCATAATTGGAGACAATTTTGAGAACAAATACGCTTTGCACAAATATGCATTGACAATAGTCATTTGTGTGTCTGTGCAAAACATATAGGGCACCCATGAGGGTGGTATGTCTGTAGCACGACTCTTTTAGAAAAGCATACAGCTCCATTCATAAAAGGGTTACTGAGAGAAAGTTTGTTCACAAACTTTTTTATGAATGGGAAACCGGTTTGACCTGGTTGTGGGCTAAGCTCAGTCGTCCTGCTTGAGGACGACTAGCGACATATTTTGATCATCTACCAAGGTACAATTTGGAAATATCTTTGGTTGCCTATAACAACCAAAAGATGACATCCACGCCTTAAGTGACCCTGAGAAAGTCAGATGTACTTAGTTTAACTCGAGATTCTTCATATATAACCGAATTGAGTGGTAGAAAGGAAAAGTGAGCGAGTGTTATGCATTGTTTGGTACTGCACAAGTGAGAAACAAAAAAAAAAAGGAAAAAGAAGAGAAAGAATTGGGTGTTGTTTGAAAATAAAAATTTAAAATACAAAGGGTAAAATGGGAATGCCAAAAAAAGATTGAGCTTTCTTCCTGTTCTCACTTAGGCCTAGAAAGAACAGATATGATATGATAAGATATGCATGCAATTACTTCCTCCCTTGGTCTGTCTTTGGTGAACCAAACAAGGGAAGAATCATTTTCTTCACTCTTTCTCTCTACATTTCTCCACTACTTTCTATCTTACCAAACACTCCAATCAGCCACTGGTTATTTCCTTTTCCTTTGCTTTACAAATATCTTCTGCAGACTTTATAAACTTCTTAGTCAAGTCGTCGATCTGAAAGCATTGGCACAAAAAAGACTCAAGTTTTAGACTAATCAAAGAAAAGGGTTCCGCGTAGGAAAACGGATTTGGTGAGGCCACCTTTTAATGATGACAACATAACATGTCGTCGATGATTATTGGAAAGGCATTGATGGATGTTTCAGAACCGAATTGGAACCAGGGCAGAACTGCTTATACAGTTATATGCAGTTCTTGTTAAGGCTCACTAATTAGCTAACACTATTACTACCAGCAATACTATTACTCCCTGTGTCCCTAAAAGTTCAGTTTAGCAATCACGGGGTCGAACTTTGACCTCTTTCTTCAGCAATTTTTACTACTTATGGAATATTTAATAAAATAATATAGTCTTGTCACATCTTTTTTTTGTAAAAGTTTTTTATGTAGTTTTTAAATATAAGGATTTAATTTTTTTAACTCTACACCAAGTTTTAAATAAATTGAGTAGAAAATAATTTCAATTTTCAACCAAACATCGTTACTCGCAACAAGAACTTCTTTTAGGGACGGAAGGAGTATTACCCTAAATCTTACATAGTAAATCAATACTGAAAGGTACTTACTTCCTTTTCCAATCTTTTTGCATCATCTGCAGAGAAAGTTGAACCAGACTTATCTTTGTCCTTCTTTTTGGGTGTATATTTCTTTAAAGTGTCCAGTGCCTAAAAGGAGTTGGATAAAAAGTTTATGAGTATTCAAAAAATTGTGGAAAGAGAAAATGAAGCAGATCATTCGCCCACTTGTTGAAATCCGACAAACGACAAATTTTAAAGATTTCGGAAGAAAGCAAAGAGCAGATTTTTTTAGGCATACCTTCTGGCGAGCTCTTCTTACACTTTGTTTAACATCTTCAGATGATTTGCCTACCACCTTGCACACAGCCTGGAATTAAAATCAGGAACATTAAGAAACGCTGGGAAACATAAAGCCCAGGGAGAAAAATAAATCCGGGGGGAAGCTGATTAATATATCTACCTGCATATGTTCCTTTGTCAGCCTGTTAATTCCAAACAAAAGAAAGAAAGAGAATCAAACTAAATGCGAGGAAACTAAAATGTTAAATTAACGGGCCTTAGACTTGAATGTGTTCTTTTTCGTAAATAACAGATAGAATCCACTAGATAGAAGTAATTGTCTTTCGTGCATCATTTAAAGAATGGAATTATCTAGCCTCAACATGGTCATCACCACCACCACTACTACTATAATCCCATCTGGTTGGGGTCACTTACTTGAAATTATGGTGCTAAACTGTCTACAAGTAGTTTATGTTACTGTCTACAATAAGTTACATTACACATTCATGGCTTCATGCAACAAAAAACCGGCAATCTTTAAGCTAGATGCTCCTCCTGACAGTTCCTGTCACGGACTTCTTGAATAAAGAGATGAAACTGTCATCATCACATGTTATTTACTTATTTCTACTTGCATGTAGAACATCATGAAACATGAATGAAGACCCAAATGGAAGCAGAACAAAAACCACTGTTTAGATCATATGTACTTACGGGGGTATAAGCACAACTAATCTCTCACCATCCACCTTAGGATTTAACCCCAGTGGAGAAGAAATGATAGCTTTCTCCAAAGATTTCAATGTCTGCAAAAGCCAATAACCATTCAATACATAGTTCGAGCAACATAGCAAACCACTTTGTACAAATGTAGAGTCAAATTGAAATCTACATTATAGAATATCCAGGGAAAAAACAATTCATAACAAGCTGCAAAATATTACATTTGGATCATAAGGAGTAACCGACAGCGTTTTTGAATCTAAAACCGAAACAGCAGCCATCCTACTAAGAGGCAATGATACGCCGTCACTTTCAACTACAATATGATCCAACATTCCTGCAAATTCAAGTGAATAGAATGACCAACAGTAAAATAAATTATTATAAAGAATTAACAACACCAGCATTGTGCTTGCACCTGTTGATGCTCTTCCAGTTCGTAATTTTGTCAGATCTCGAGATAAGGAATCTATAGCTGCCTCCATCTGTGAAATTGCAGTAGCCTTAATTGACGGACCGACATTCACAAGCTCTGCTGTGCTCTCATTACAATCTACATCTTCCCCTAGGGTTTCCAGTGAAGAACAAAAGTAAACAGTGAATTTTAGGAAATAATATTCACTCAAATAACTGTGATCTCTCTAAAAGATAAACTCAAGCCATCAAGTGCATTCTATTGTAACAGTGTACAGAGAAATGAAAAGAAATAGTGAATACTCAAGTTCTTTCTTCCTTTAGCGAAGCCTCTACAGCTTCTGAGAAGGGAATTCGTTGCCGGAAAGTAAGAGGTGGCGCCAGAAGTGGCGGTGCGACGGAGGAGGCTAGCAGAAGTGCCATCTACTAAGTACGCGAAGTGGCGCGCCTGAGAAGTTGAGGAACGTAAGATGATAGATACATTGCGATAGGAGATTAATGCCCGCCTCATAAAGATCGCCATGATTGAGAAATTGGAGCTTTCTTCTTCCTCGCGCTGATTTAGCTTTCTAGGGTTTTGCTAAACCCTCTTTCTACTGTGCCGAATAAAGATTAATAAAGAGTAAATTTTCACTTTTTAGAATGAAGAGTTTGAGGAAAAGGATGAACCTCATCAACCTCATCAGATATTAGTAACAAAAAATACAATCTATATTTGATATATGAAACATCTGGTTAATATAATTGCTTCTTAAAATGTTTGAGAGAATGAAAAGTAAATTAAATTTTATCGTGTATTTGGTTGGGCATAAAATATTTTCCAGGAAAATTTTAATTCTATTTTCATGTGTTTGTGCCAAACAATGGATTATATGATTGAAGAATAATTTTTCTTGGAATTATTTTCATTTAGAAAATATTTTCAAAGAAAATATATTACCTCTAACCAAACACAACCTTAATCAAATAATAACAACAACAACAACAACAAATAATCAAATATTAGTAACAAAAAATAAAATTTATATTTGATACTTGAAACATCTTCTTAATATAAGTGCTTCTAAAAATGTTTGAGAGAATGAAAGGTGGTTGTTAATGATAGGAAAGCGAAGACTCACCATCGAGGGTGGTTGGTGATGGTGAATGGATAATATGGATGGATTGCCAGTAGTGGTGGTTGAAAGTTATACTTACGAGGTGCAATTGACGTAGGTGGGGTGATTAGTTTGGGTCGGGACTTGACAGTGGGGTTTACCAGGGGGGTTAGAAGGGGTAGGAATCATCAATTTTATGAACGGAACTCCGTCGCCACTGGAATCCAGTGGCCATGGAACCGGACCGTTACTATAGAACCTGTTTGGGAATAGCGCTAGAGATTAACGTTAGCGTTTTGGATAAAATATTAACAGTGCAAATAACTTTTTCAAAACGTCAATGCTAATTTCTAACGTAATTGCCAAACATGCCCATATTCTAATTTTTGGGATATCAAAACCCACCATTTGGAAGGTTTGTATATATGAAAATATCAAATTTGAACCCTGTTAGTTTCCATCAAATACTTACAAAAGAGTTTTGATAGCAACTTTGATATCGAGAGATATAAAAAGTTCATATCTTCTACTTTCACCAAATGAGCATAAATAAGGTGGAAAAATATTTTGTACACCCCTAGTAATGGTATTTGGCTTATTTGAATGAGTCTGGAACCAATGTAGTCAAAAGTATAATACAATTAGGTGAGAAATTGTATTGCTAACTTGAAAGTTGGCTTGGTGTACTTTTTTGTTACAAAATTTATAGTTGAGGTAACTTTTTGTTACAAATTGAAGTGAGGTAAATTTTTCTTACAATGCTAAAAATGGATATCTCCAATAAAAAAAGCCCCTTAATATGTTTAATTTAGTTTGATAAAAAGTGTCAAACGAATCAAATTAAAGACAGCATCAACGCATGCTAGTACAAAACAAAGTGAAGAGTACAAACTTCAGAAGGTCAGAAACAAGGAGAAATATGGAAATTTAGTTAAGATTAAGACAGTTCTTTCCAAGAAACTAAACATCATGTATAAAGATCAGAGTCAAGAAGATGATCTTTGATACCCCCAGGCCAAGAAAAGTCACTTTTGCCCTTATCAGCACTGGTATTATGATCCATCATGCCTGGGAAGACATTCTTGAGCAGAAGAGATTTCACAAGTGATGTTGCGGGACCCCCAGCTTCGGGCCACGAAACCAACACTGTTCCTCTGATTTTATCCATCTCGCATCGGCCCAATAGAGCGGCTGCCAATCCGTCCACCACACTTCCTGATGGCAAGTAGTCCAAACCTTTAACCAACTGAGAAGAATCGTCATGGGCTCTCTCTAATGAAGACTCCAGCTTGAAAGCGAGTGTTTCATCCGGGGGAAGTTTGCCCCTAAAGTTGCGACTCCGGATTGTATCCAAAACCAAAACCCGGTCCGGGATGATCTTTTGCCCAACCAGCAGCTTTGCAACCGCGTGAGATCTCTCTGCAGTGACTGGATATTGAACTGAAGCTACCAAGATCAATTTATCAGAGTGGTGTATGGCATAAATATTGCAAGATTTGTCCTTTAGGGAGGGTTCGACTGAGTTCCCCGATAATGGTATCTCGGGTAGGATGAGTGTTGCAACTAAGGTTTTGGAAGAGGTGTGGTGAAAGAAGTGAGTGGATGGGAAAGACATTGCAATTATGAGCAAAGAAGGGTGAGAGTATTTCTCTGGGTTGGGTGATGAGAACAAGAGGAATGGAGAAGGGAGAGGAGATGAACGAGGGGAGAAATTGTTCAGATCTTCTAAGAAGAATCTAGAAGGCGGGGGAATATCGGTCAAGATGTCTTCCATCTTCCCTTCCAAGTAGCCCTATTCCCTGCAAAATCCAAGAAACTTTGTTCTCTCAACCTAGTAATTAACACTAGTGAATTCAAAGAAATATAAAACATTATGTGATGATTAGTAACCCTACCCTTTGGCATGCCACAATGCAATCAAATATAACTCTAGTGAAAACTTACACTATGCATGCATTTGACTACATTTCACTATGTCTTAACCTAAGAAATCATGCCAAAGGGGCCAAGTTTTGAACTCATCCTCATTATATGTATTATCATCTGTTTGACATTGTACTCAAGTCAACAACACAAGTAACATATGCATATGCTTTGAATTAGCTGAAAGTCGGATAACAACTTCATTTTTTAATCCAAAAATGATCTTGAAGTTCCAACAAAAAAGCCTTCATTAACCCTGAACTCCTCAAGAGTCATATTTTATACCTTTAAACGAAATATATCAACTCAATAGTGAACTTAAACTTTAAAAAAGGATTGACTTTGGACATGTCGTGTATGCAAGCGCCGATATGTGAAGAGGGTGATAGCCGATAAGTGATGATGACACTAGTTGCAACTGTAACACACATTATAACTCAAACCTTTTATATTATTTCCTTTTGGATATGTAATGTGTTATGTAAGGTTAAATACTGTCAGATCATCACTTACAAGTCACAACTTCGTGCCCATATCTAGATGCACTTGTGTCTTCTATTTGATTTAAATGCATACACAGCACATGCAAAGTCAAACAGGACTTTTTTTAAATTTCATGGGTATTAATGAGTCACTTTAGTTAGTTTAGGGGCTAAAGCAAACCTTTGAACAGCTCGGGGTCAATCAGGTTTTTTTAGAAGTTCAATGTCATTTTGAGGGTTTTTGGCCTAGAAAGACCCTCAAAAGCTAAATATTGCAAGACTTTCCACGACTTAAGTCAGACTCAACTAATGGAGCCAATCCCAAGAAAGTGACAACTAAGAAAGAGTCTCCATCTTGTAACTTGTAAGCAATACGTAAAGCTTATAGTGCCCATCCTAACATATTGAACTTGTTATCAGGTTTTGGCTATATGAGCAAGAACCATTAGTCCATGATTGAGGTATAAGGATTAGCAAACACAAACATTTTCTAAAATCAAAAATGAATTTTTGTTTTTACTGATGAATCAATGCCAAAAAACAAAGATTCAGTTGCATGTGCTATACAAGCATGTGAGATAATGTGCTAGAGGGTGAAAGAATAGGAATAAGTTGGGGCAAAAAACATTGGCCTGAGAGGTCAATGGTACAAGGGGGAAAAAGAGCCAAAGTTCTTTAAGTAAGTTTCTTGCCATTGAAGACATGATATTGAAGCTACATAAATAAACACCTTTTCTATAACCATCCTAACAGCATCTAAAAGCCACCCAGTTATGTCAATTTCTTTCACTGTTATTCATTAATTAGCTTTTCCACTTGAAAAGAAAAAACCTATTCTTTCACGCTATAGTTCTAAATTTTTCAGTTCCTATCTATAAATTGAGCTAAAAAAATCAATTTCACCCACATGAGCAATCTAGGATCTCTGCATAAAATGATATTTTTCCTAAACATTAAAAAACGCTGACAAACAATGAAGATTTCTTAAAATAATCAAAACTATTACCGGTATCAATTAAAACACAGTCACTTTAAGGTAATAGATAATTAGACATTCCAAATACTCTAAAATAAAAAGATGGCGAACACATTTAAGAAAAGTATACAATACGGAGTACTCTGTATAAAATACAGTAGCAAAATTGGAACCCTAAATCCCGCAACGAAGTAAAAAACTTATCTGAAACATGAAATTACGATCTGAAGGTGGTCTCTCATATACATGTTTCATAAAGATAGGGTTAACAGGAGATCAGTATAATCTCGAAATTGGAAATTCGACACTCTATAATTTCATCAAAGATAAAAAAACATTTACTTCCTGTTGTGTTTCATATCTGTATATAATATAGAAGTTTAAGCGGCTACGACTGAAAATGGAGCGGAGAATAGAGGAATACCTTGAGCTTTTTTAATGGTGATTTCCCGTCGAAAAGGAAGAAGACAAGAGCCAAAATGGCAGCTTTGGTTTTGCGGACCGGTCCAGTTAAAAAATGTACTCCGTAATTTTTGGCCCTATTTTGTTTCTTATCTGATACTCCTTTATTTTTTGGGGCCATTTATTAAAATTTTATTGATTACTCCGTATTATTATGATTTTTAAGATAATTCAAAAATTGAAAAGATCTAGTTATATACGGAGTATTATGTATATATTCATTTAATTTTGATGTATCATAAAATTATCATATATGGATGGAGTCTTTTAATACAGAGTGCGGAGTATAATTTTTTGTGTACATTAAATATATTGAAAAGTAGTTTAAAGAATGCACCCGATTTATTTAAGTGTAACTAGATTTTAGATCTATTTTCAAGTGAAACGAGCATAAAAGGGAAGGGATGATCCAACAAAAAAGTCAGAAATAGGCCTACATGAAAGGAGGATTGGATGTAAGGACCAACTTCACTGAAATTCATGTCGTAGTTGCAATTATATTAAAATATACTCATCTTCGTGATTGATTCTAAAATCGTGTCCCGTAATTAGTTACATTAATTAAGATTTGCAATTAGCAATAATGAAGCTATATTATAAAATATAACTTCTCTTTATCCATAGAGAAGATTGCACTCTTGTTATTCAAACATAATACGAAGTTCTATCTATTTTATATTATGAATTATTTTAAATCTTAATTAATACTTTGTATTTTTATCTATTGTTATTAGGAAAAATCTTCACCCACTTAAAGTCTATGGTGGACTTTCATATAAACCATTTTTACAAAGTAAATAAACATTTTTATTTACTATCTCCGCCCGAAATCGAATTGTCTAGTTTGACTTCACCCACATATTTAAGAGTGTTAAAAATAGGATTGAGTTTTGGAAAATACACTTGCATTGTTTCTATACTCTTACACTTGAACATTATAAACCTTAGATCCATAATAGAATTTCTTTTATTCTAAATTCCTGATGAATTAAGTATCCTTCCCAAATTTTATATTTTGTGAAATTTTAGTAGATATGTTACAATTAACAACAACAATAACCCAGTGTGTGTACGCAGACCTTATCTCTACTCGAAAGTAGAGATGTTGTTTCCAAAGAGACCTCCGGCTCAACGTCAAAAGTTGCATTGCTTGACTAACTGCTACTTCATTAATTAAAGAAGGAAGCGCAGACAGTTTAGAGATTCATTTTGATTTATTTCATCACACCCCAAAGCCAATTGTATTCAAAAAGTTAATTTAAAAATTATTGCACACACAAAATTAGGAGTTATGTGTGAATGCATATCTTGCCCACACCGGCCTAATTAACGAGAAATGATAGTTGCACTATAAATTTTTTTATTGACACCCCAAATTGTTCTATTCTGTCTTAAATTTTGTTATTGACACCCCAAATTGTTCTCTTCTGTCTCACAGGAACAGCACATTTTGAAGTGTCAATGGTAAAAAGTAAAGTATAAAGATTATTTCCCCTAATATGCAATGATAATTGTAGAAAGAATTAAAGTCTAGGATTATTTAAAAAATATGAATTATCATTGAATAAATTACTTTTCCATTTGAAAAATTATCGAATTACATGTCGAATCCATAAATGTACAAAAACCCAAAAGGTCATTGGATCTTCCTTGTACCATTAATGTTTGTTCACACAAGATTGATATTACTTTGACAGTAATGACTAATAAGAACACATACACCGTCGTGCAATAAGACATAATTTTTGAACCTAGAAGCCTAGAATCGTCATTTTGACAATATCTAAGCTTCTAGTAAACAAAAGACAAGATCAAAATCACATATTCAATGCAACAATGCTTTGATGGTCAACCCCAAAAGGCCTTGGGAGACTGGAACTATACTGGGTTTTGTTGTTTCAAGAACAATTTAATCAGCTATGAAGAAGACACAAAGATAAATGAGCTGAAGAACACAAGAAGCACATATTACCATCAAGAAGCATATAAAGTCAAAAGCCAGATTCGTGCAAAGGAACGAATGCCAAGTCCCATAGTGCTTGACCATCAACATGCACTTAAGAATACATGACCCTAAACCCTGCAATCATAATGCTTTGCATTAGTATTCTGTGTGAACAAACAACAAAGGACGTTGATATAGTCATTGTAAGATAGAGTGCCTGTTTGGCTACAACTTCAGCGTTTTGAAAAGGTTGTTTATCTTTAGCGTTTTCAAAGTTAATATCACCATTAAAAAGCTATTCAAAACACTAACGATGTTCCCAAACGAGGCTAGTGTGACCATATCATGAATGTGCAAGAGTTGTGATACAATACAAGTCCATTGAAGTTTGAGTGATCTCATGCATGCGATTGTGGACCCTACAAAGGCATTGAAAAATATTTCAGTACCTTTAAGTGGGAAATGAAAAATCGAAAAGCATTCCGGTGTGGTCAATCTTCATGCTCAGGATCATCCTCCCCCTCAGAATCTGCAAGAGGTAAATAAGTTTTGAAAATTCATGAACAAAGAAGCCAATCTTTTCACTTATTTTTTCCCCTATCATTTGCCTTGTTCCAAACATAATAATGGCATATCCTTCACAATGGAAGGTTGAAGTTCCATATTGATTCAGTCCATTGTGTGAGGTCACATATCCATATATTTAAAAGAAAATAAAGTAAGAAGTTTTTTAGGACATCGAGAAGAGGAAAGTAGGAAGTCTTTTGTGGGAGTATAAAAGAGAAGAGACATGAAATGAACATACCAGAACGAACATCTTCACTGACTTTGCCTCTGTCTTGGATTTGTTTAACAAGCATTCTGTACATTAACACCCACCAATAGACATTAAGAACAAGCAAGCCAAATAGAAGAGTATTGAAGATATAGTAATAAATCGGTCCGTCCACTTTATGATTCTCCTTATCCAATGTCAAAAGAACTTCATAGCTGCAATTGGAAAACAAGAAGTAACATTATTCTTATCTATTCCTATACAAATACTACAAGTACTTCATAGAATTCAATGAGTCTAAGTGGAATATGTCTAATAAACTTATTTGTACGTATGCACTCTTTATCTTAGCCAAACAATAGCTAAGGGTCTGTTTGGGTGGAAGGTTTTGGAGGACAAAGCTTTGGAGTAATACTGTATATCTTGACATATATTTGAAGTTTTTAAAGTTGAACAAACAACATAATATTCCGTATGTGATTTGGTGATTGTATAACATTTCAACCACATTTTTTCGCTTGTACACACATTTTACTCATCAAGAAATAGACCAAACATTCAATTACCTCTTTCCCTCCAAAAGTGTTCATCCAAACAGATCCTAAGATAATCCTCAAAGTACAGAAGAAAAAGAAAATAAAAAGGAAATGGGTTTATGAAATTCTTTTTTTAAATGGAAAAATCACTATTGAAAGTGAAAATTCCTCTAAGAGTACTCTCTAAGGTGCAAACTGCTTAGTTTAGGGAAAAACCCACCTTTGAACATGGGAAATCTATGCAATAAACAAATTTGAAAGAAAAAAATGAATGCCAAACAAGTCACCTTGTACTCCACAGAATCCAGAAAGGATAGTATGTAATGCGAAGCAGAGTCCAAGACAAAACAAACAGAACAAATGCAACACTAGCAATAGTTTCAGCACCGCTGTATTTGGACATCTTTCCTATTTCAAGAAATACGTCACTAGCATCATGAAGAGCTAAAACCACTGAACCAACACGTGCAAACCTGCAAAAATGGTGAATTTAGCTGTAATTGTGAAAAATTGCTTAGGCAGTCGCTGATATTGATTGAGTTCTTGAAATTGCTAAATTTTGAAGGGAAAAAACTATTCAAAGCATATTTTATTGATTAATAAATCAAGAAAGAGTTTGGTTCTTTTGAGTTTTGATAGCAAGGTTAGGTGTCATATTGTGGCACCGGCCATTTGAGGCCCCTATGGTGCTCCGTTGGAGCCTAGAGTTGTTCCTATCCCCTCACCCAACCCACACCCACACACAACCCCCCCCCCCCTATCCCCACCCTTGCCAGCCACCCAAATTTGTTGTTTTGCCAAAGTAACAACTTCGGGGTCCAACTAAGAATTGGGGAAGGGGCAGGGGGTTTTAGGGGGGATATGAACAGATTCAGAGTTCAACAAAGTATAGTAGGGGCTTGGTAAACAACCTTGGGGATCAAGGAATATGCATATAAACGTGTACAATGATCATCTTCAGCAATATCAACCAAACAAAGCACCCCCAGTCCTATTTTTTCATTACTAACCAATTTAAAACCCATAGTTAATATTGTTTGGTAATAAAATAGGGTGTTGATTAGCCAAAAAATAGGCTATTAAAAAGCCACTAATAAAATATGATTGTTGAGTAAGAGCATGTTGGGATCAAGTGCAAATGTATTGCAAAATATTCATTAAAAAGCCAGAGGCTCACCTCCACAGGAAACACACCTGAATATATAGGATAGAACAATCAGTATGGCAGTTGCGACATGATGGATCATAGAAACGCCAAAGTCAGCTCGCCTTGTTTCCCAAAACATAAGGGCAAATATTGAATACGTGTAGAACCCACCAGCATACATGTAAAGTGCCTTCAATTTAGACCTAAATTGCAGATGAAAACCATTAATCACATCTAGGAAATGTAATCATTTTTCTATCACACACGATAAAATCAGGTAAACATAGGTGGTCGAATTCTAATGCCCAACTTCTTGGCACCATTTGGGCCTTATTCTTTTAGGTTGGAATTTCAGAGTTGGATGTTGGAAGAAACTGGAAGGAGTTGGAAAATGTTGAAAGAATTTAAGTATTAAAAACTCACTCAGTTAAATGATGATCCAAATAAATATGTTAGAAAATTTTAATTTTGGATAACAAAGAATCCATCATTGTCCGTGTTTGAGGTGATATATAACGAATTTGGATATATAATGTTATTTTATATTAATCATATATAAATACTTTTTTAAGTCGTTGCTGGAAGAATCTATAAAGAGTAAGAATGAACTGGAAGGAGTTGTAAGAATTTGGAAGTTAATTTTTCCAACCCAAAAGAACAAGGCCTTAGTGGGGGCACTGACTTAAAGAATACACCTTGGCTTGGCCCCTATGGGACAAGTGATCACCCTAATAAGCCCTTACTGAGGAATGAGGTTAGATGATTTAATGTCCACCTATTTATCACCAATTAATCGACTTTAACAACAAAATGGCAAGCATTAACTTGAAAACTCTAAAGTCTATCAAATTGTTCAAAAATGCTTAAGTTGCAACAATTTAAGGATAGGTGACCAAGAAGCAATTTGTTCAAAATTGTGGTGACCCTACAACCACAAACCTACTCGCCCATCCCAGGAAAGTATTTAAAAGAAAATATCTTCCATAAAAGGATAAGCTCAAATTGGGAGGAGCTAAGGCACTTTATGTCACTCATGCAAGACAATTTGCAGTAAAGTTATTGGAATACATTTTTGTACATATTCTTGTATTTATTTGGTTTCCTTGTACGAGTATATTTCGTTAGCTCTGATACCATGATAGAAATTTGGAATTGAATTGCTTGCTTTGCATTGATGCCTCAAACTGTATCTATAGTACAAGAGTTACCAAAACATCTAAGGAAATTTACTTATACAAGGAAACCAAACAAATACAAGAATATATACAAAAATTAATTCCAATTCCCAATTTCTTTTATCCAAGTTGGGCACTCCTGATATCCTTGCTCCAACTTGATGGGGAGTATTGGAATATATTTTTGTATATATTCTTGTATTTATTTGGTTTTCTTGTACAAGTATATTTCCTTAGATAGTTTTGGTAACTCTTGTACTATATATACAGTTTGAGGCATCAATGTAAAGCAAGCAACTCAATTCCAAAATTCTACAAAGTGAACACTGTATCCCAACACCATATTTCTTCAAACAAGTCATAAAGTGCTCGTATGTGCACGTACTTTAAGGGCCTCTATGCGAAAAACTCAGTTTTGGAGTACAGGCACGGATATAATGCAATAAAAAAACAAAGAACCAAAGAAAAACTATTACTTGTACGTTTGATCGGGCCAGAACTGATCCCCGGGTCCAGCCCAGAAGTATTTTGTGTCCTTGAACCATGGCTCGTTGTAAGTTACAGCAAGTGAAAATATTTCAGCTGAAAGATAATACACACACTTCCATGCTGATTCTTTGAATTTCCTCATCTTTTTCTTCCTTTCATCTGTCTCCTTCTCCATCGCCCACTGTCCCTCTGCAAACATCAACCTTCTGGCCACATTCTACCCACACACACACATATTCAAATTGCAAGAATCCCCAAATAAGTGAGGGGCAAAACAAGAAAAAGGACACATTGGGAATCGCAAGGTGACATCAAGAAAAATCGAATCTTTCTGCAACTAAGATATCAAAGTGCTCTAGACAAATATAATACTAATAAAATGAATTCTGCAGCAAAGCAATTGGCACCTCAAACACGAATCTGTCGAGCAAGAATCTGATAGTGGGAAAGAAGAGCGCGAACAATGGAAGAGCTGCGAAATCCTCGTAATTTGGGTACGATTCTTGCTCCCAATCTATCCTGCCAAGCTTTTCCAGCAAACCCATGTCTCAAAATTGGGGGAAAAAAATACAGAAGTAATAAAATAAAATCAAGAAGGTAAATAAAATCTGTAATGGAGCATGAAGTTTCGTGGCTGTGAATTAGAAGTTTCGGAAAAGATTATGACAGGTGAATGAAGAAGTGGAAGGAGCTAGGGTCGTCAGATCATTGTTCTTAGAATCCAACACATGTGATTGTCTTAGATTACAAAATACGGAGTACTCTGCAAAAAAACTATTGTGATTGTCAAAAGAAAGTGTTCACTTTTTGTGCGTGTATTGACCTGGACTGGGAAACTATTTTTATTTAACGTTTTCTTCCACTTATTCTTGTTACTCCGTATTTATTAGAGACGGTTCGCATGACATTGTCTGGCAATGTCATGGATGACCCGAGTGTGCTTCGGTGACCCATTCATAAAATTGACGGTTCGACCTGAACAAACTCTCACCCGCTTCAATTGCACCCCATAACTTAATTTTGACTTTGAACTCAAAATTTGATTCTTAAGTCAAAAATTTACTTGTGGGGTGTAAACCATGTAATTGACGGGGGTGGGGGTGTGTTCGGGCCGGGGCAGGGTGTGGGGGTTTACCGGGGGGTTAGGGGAGTAGGAATCGTCACGGGAGATCAGAGCGCCCCCGGGTCATCCCATGACATGGGATTCCAATGTCATGAGAATCCCACCGATTTATTATCTATGTTTCCGAGTATTTGTCCAATTTTGACTTTTTTTGTCAACCATTTTCAAATTTGACCTATAATGAAACTAAATATATATTGTATATTAATTAAATAAAAAATATTTGATATAATACATCTAATAAAACTATTTTTGTATCAATATATAATATTTTTTATTTAATTTGAGGCCAACGTTTACTAATTTTGACCAAAAAAAATCAAAAGTGGACAAATACTTATAGAGAGAAGTAGTATTACTTTTTCGTATTGAAACTAAATCAGAAAAGACTTTAAATATAATTGATGGGTGTATTCCACTCACTACCGGTTTAAGAGAGGGTCCTCAAATGCTTGACCGGTCAAATGATGAATTTCCGGAATGGGAAGCCTAAATGACAATGGTTTATATCGGTCGGTGACAGAAAATTGACCAATACACTTCGATTACTCTACCGGTCAAACTACGTGACTTCTCCTGATCATTCCCAATCTCCATAAATCCATCCCACGTAAACTTAACCGGCATGAGTTCTATGGTTGGGAAGTGTTGGAATGAAAGAATCCAAGGGAGGTTGGACTATAGCGGCCGAATTCAACGAAGGATCACTGAAGATATTCACGCAGTCAGTCCAACACGCTACGCGACAAGGGGATTCACCTTCCTAGTTAGATAACAAAGAAATAAAGGGATGGAATAAGCCACTAAACGACAGAGGCAATCACCTCGCGCCGCCCAGGAACGTGGCCTGACGTGGGTGTGCGGCGCCTTTTTCCCTTTAACTTTACTATAAATACTATAAACCTTCAAAGAAAGGGATCCGAATTCTTCTCACTAAACCCTTGTGTAAAAGCTCCTGTACATTTTATTATATTCGAATAACAACTGGCTACAAGTATTGCCATCTACAGTCCTCCTAGTTAAACTTTGTGTTTATTATCTTTTACTTTCTCGAATCCAATAAACAATCCTATACCCGGTCTAGCATTGTTTACCCGGTTGGTAATTCACACCATCAATAACTATATTCAGATCAAATTAGATCAAAAATTATTCTAATCAGATCAAAACCATTTACATCAGGTGAAGAGAAAATGGTCTAAGTCATGCAATGTTTTAACTTTGAAAATTATATAAATAATCATTTAAATCACCTTATCACTCTATGTTTGTTCCTTTTTTTTATTTTGTTATTAGTTTATGCATTTTTCATTTTCTATTATAAATGCAGTTGAGGATTTTTCTCTTCTTCATACAATTGAATCATATCTTATATAGATCTATTTTTAATAATAAGCAATTTTTAATTTTATTGATGATACCTCCTAGGGTTTCGACGGACGGCTGTTGCACGGTGGGCGTGCGCGGCTTAGGGTTTGGGAGAGAAAAGGAGAGTAGGAGGGAGAGGAAGAGAGGATTTTAGGGGGACGAGGAAGATTCTATTATTTCTTAAGTTAAAGAAAGAATACAACACCCTTTATATAATAGTAGGGTGTTGTATCTTTTCGGTTCAAGAAAAAAGCGATGAGGTAAAAAACAAAAAGAAATCTTTAAAGGAACTTATAATTTGCTCACCTAATAAAATCTAAAGTACAATAAATAAGAATAAGGAATAATTAAATATCATCTTCATAACATCTCAAAGGTCGAACAGTCCTCTTCGGGCGAACGCGCAGCAGAGTCGAGGGATCACATGGGTCGGCATTCTCAGGAACACCCCCCGTATCATTATCTACACTGCCAAAAAAATGTGTTTAAGCTGGTATACACTTCCAGAAAATTGGCATAACACACTGTCGTCATACCCAATATAACATGTATCTACACTGCCAAAGCATGATCATTCCACACTGCCAAAAAATGCGTTTAGGTTGGTATACGCTTTCAGAACATGAACATAATACACTGTGAGAAAGTATAGTCAAGTATTGTGAACCATAACACACTGCCCAAAACATAGACATAACACACTGTAGACATAACATTACAATTTCACACTGCCAAAAAAGTTGGTATACACTTCTAATTTCGTTTATTAAATGCGTTTAAGCAGTGAGGAGAGACATGACGGTCCTAAGTGCTACGTACAAAGAATGAGAATAATCTCCTAAAATTATAGATCTCAATAAATATGATAAATGAAATAATTAAAATACTGCATTGTAATAAAAGGGTATAATTAGAAGAGATCCATGCCATAAATAGTCAAATGGTTGAAAAAGAATAAAGAGTGTTATATGTGTAATATTGAGCGTCCTAGAGTGTTATATGGTGATTACTAAGAAAAGAATGGAAAAAAGTAATGATGGATAATAAACAATCATACAAAATTCTATTGAAATACACATTAAAATCTATCTAATTCTATATACACTTAAAATAATCCTTTGATTTTATATAATCTATCAATTCTAAACAATCTATCAAAATCTTTTAAAACCCAAATTGAATACACCCTCTATACATAAATCATTTGGCGATAGTGAAATTTGCACTAACACTAAACCATATGTCATTTCTAATGTAGTATTTAAATTATTTTATTTCCTAAATAATACTTGAATAATGTCTAGGGACAAGAAAAATGTGCAGTGATAGTAATCATTTAATTTAGACAATGTCTAGTAACGATGAACATTTACTTGAACAATGATTAGGAGTACTACATTGGAAAATAAAAACATATGATACTATATTAGAAAAGTAATCATGTTTTAGTACTCTTTAGGTAAATTCCCCTTGGGATATTCATAATAGGTGAAGGATAGTTTAAAAATAATATACTCAAAACAGAAAAACAAAAATATTAGCTTAAAAATAAATAGGTAAGACTTACTTATTTTTTTAGCTTATAAGTCAGCTTATAAGCATAAAGAATCACGTCATCAAATAACATATAAATTAAAAACAATTTATAGCAGTTTTGACTAGCTCCTACGCACAGAGAAACACCCACTATATACGAGAGTCTAGCCTACACTATTCCTCAATCAAGGATATCAGATCCTTAAAATAAGAGCTATCACATTAATATAATCAACACTCATTTTTTGAACAATAAAAAAAACCGCTTCGGTCTTGCACCTTAGTCTACAATCCGGGACATGCTTAAGAAATGATCCTCATTCCTCAATGATTAATGATGGACAATATCTGCAAATTGATAACTCAACAAGTGTTAATTAACTGTGGGTCTTCCTGCAAAACCAAACAAACAAAAAAAGATGTTTACAAGCAGTCGATTTGGAGCCATTTTTTCAATACCTTCTGAGTGAGTACATAAAATTCTTCCTTCTTCATGGCTTTTTCAAGTTCCTATTAGTTGAACATTTCTCAGAGAGTTAATACAACCACAACAAACTCAGTAAAATCTCACAAGGCAATAGCGCCCGAGAAGAGTAAGTATATGCAGAACTTACCCTTACGTGGAAGTAAAAAGAAGGGAAGAAGAGCTAAATAAATTAAACAGCGCTGTATTTAGAACTTACATTCTCAGCCTCAGGAGAAGAATCTATATTGCATATAAGTTTACGAAGCTCCTCGCTCCTTAATGCCTCACATATTTCACTCGATGAAGCTTATGAACGAAAGAGAAACACAAAAAAAAGATCGTTTAATTTACTTCGCGAACTCATTTGGAATGAAGAGAAGGGTTGCAGGAGAAGACGTCCGTTGGATATGCATACCAATAGACTCAAGCTGTGACTGATTTAGCTCCTCCCTTGGCTCGTTGACATACATTGGTTTGCCAACATGCAATGGTGGTACGAAAGCTGTTATACACGAAATGTTTAATTTTATTGATAGGTTCTAATTTCTACCCAACAAGCTTTTCTAAAAACTAATACAACAACAAGAAGAAACACAGTAAAATCACACAAAAATAGGATATGGAGAGGGTGTGTGCACAGAGACCTTACTCCTACTCCAAAGTAGTGCTGTTGTTTCCAAGACCCCCGACTCAAATAGGATGATGTGTTTTTACACGAATAATTCCTATTTATAATATACTTTTTGACGAGAAATGTCGAAACAATAGTGATGTTTCACGAAAGTAACTCCTAAGCTATGTTTGGTTCATGGAATTCAGAAAGAAACGAAAAGAAAAAAAGGTTTCTCTCGTTTTCCTGACCAAAATGTAAGGAAAATTGTTTTCTTCATCTTACTTTACTTTCTATTCTCATTTTCTTTTTCTTCCAAATTTACTTCTTTTCCCCTCTAACCAACAAAAACAACAACAACCAACTTAGATCCCTCGGGAGTAGGGTCTATGGAGGGTGCATGTACGCAGACCATACCCCTACTCAAAAGTAGAGAGGTTGTTTCCAAAGAGACCCCTATCTCAAGCACCACATGACACATGTAATCACGTATACAGTGTGGCCCCTATGTTCAAAATATAGATTAGTTGTTTCCAGATGACCTGTGATGGGTGTCAAAGTCGCATTGACTAATTGTTACTTCACTATTAAAAGAAGAATAGATCATTTAAATGAGAATTTTTGCTCTATTCAAGCACACCCAAAGCCAGAAAATATTGAATATTTGGCTCCATCGGAAATACTTTCTGCTCTAACCAAACAAGAAAAATTGTCTTTTTTATAAAGGCAGTTGGCTTCTAAAATATTCTGAAGGCCAGCTTGGAACTCGGAAAATGCTACATAAAGAAAATAGAGAGGAGAATAAAAAGGACATTTGGTGTGAGTGAAAATTAAGCACTTGTTCAGCAACAATGAACCAAATATAATCCGAACTTTGATTGGGTCTCATGGGTTAGGATATACGCAACTACACCCTCAAAAAAACAGAGAGCTTTTGTTTATGTAAAATAAGCAGAATAACGCAACAAATGCAAACTAAACACACCCAATACACACAGCAACATTGACATCCAAGAACAAAACCAAAAGCAGTAACTAAATCTAAAAAAATTCCTCTAAAAAAATCTAAAGCAAAGCTTACCCAAATTTTCTCCTGAAGAAGATATCGGCTTTTCAAAAGGAATTTCTGCAAAACTGTAACTGATTAAATAGTATAAAAAGGTACTATAAATCAGTTAGATACCAGAGGAGTTTCTTTTCTTTTACTCTCTGACCAACAAAACAACTCAGTTAGATACCACAAGAGTAGGGTTTGGGGATTGTGTGTAGTGTATACACAGACCTTACCCAGTTACCCCTACTCAAAAGTAGAGAGGCTATTTCTCAAGAGTAAAGAGACACCTGCCTAATCACGTACGCAGCCTGACCCCTATGCTTAGACTCGTGATGGGCGTCAAAGATAGAATTAACTAATTGCTACATCACTATTAAAAGAAGTGAAGATTGTTTAAATGAGCCGTTTTGATTTATTGCATTTGGCGTGAGTGAAAATAAAACCCTTGTTCAACAACAACGAACCAAATAATCCGAATTTTGATATACACGACTACACCCTTAAAAAAATAGATAGCCTTTTTCTCTTAGACCCGTGATGCATTTACTGGAATTACTACGCAATGTTTCGCAGAAAGTGAGAAACAATGAAAGTTTAATGTGCCACTTTTATATAGTCGATTATTTAACTGAAGCTAAAAAATTGGACTCCTTAAAACAAATTCTTGTTTTAGCTCCACTGTCAAAACTCAAAAATAAACACTTGCTCAAACAATATATATGTTTTTGGGGAAAAGACTATAGCAAGAGTAAAACATAAAATATAAATCAAAATATGAGTTTAATATTTTTATTCCCGAAATAGGAATAAAAATATTCCTATTTCACCGTGCCCTATTATCACATTGCAATCTCTTATTTTGGGAACAAAAACATGGAGCTCCTATTTTGATACTTTCTCTATGTTTAACTTCTATTTAGGGTGATTTCCTTTTGTTTTTTTGAAGTTTGTTCAAACTTGTTTATGTAAAATAAGCAAAATAACAGCACAAATGCAAACCAAAAACACATCAACATTGCAGCAATACATCCAAGAACACAACCAAAAGCAGTAACTAAATCTATTGTAGTATTAATTTAAAAAATTCCTCTAAAAAAATCTAAAGCAAAGCTTACCCAAATTTCCTTCTGAAGAAGATATCGGCTTTTCACAAGGAATTTCTGCAGAACTGTAACTGATTAAATAGTATTTAAAAGGTACTATAAATCAGAGGAAAAGTAGTTAAAGAAAGACATATTTAAGATCTCATGTGATAAAATCTTCCATTGATGATGAACCTTTGTGCTTCTTGAAACATGCCAACGAACAGCTGCAAGAATTGGAAAAAAAAAGTGAATTTTTTCATTTTTTTCTCCAAAAAATATTGCTTGAAATACAAAAGAAATAAAATTAAGCTTACTAGGGCATGACACAGATTGGGCATTTGTATTTAAACTGAGCTTCTTCGCAAATTCCACACTTTCACTGCCCCATCTCTCTTTCTTTCTTCTGATTTTCTGATATTCTCGAGGTTGAAGAAACACAAATCAGAGCTTTAGATATTTGGGGTTTAATACAGGCTTTTGAGCTATTTTGGGCTTTATTGGGATATTTAGTTTGGGCTTTTTTACTGGGCCCATAAAAATCCTTTCTTTTGTCCCAAGAGAAGGCATTCCTATTCTACTCCCCAAACAAATTTTGGATCTGCTATTTGGTTTTCCAAACAGATCTCGTCTCTCTGTAATCTCTATCGTCTTCTCAAGAAGAGGAATCATGGGTCAAGGAACTCCCGGCGGCCTTTTTTCATGCCAATTTTGTAACAATCCAATGGCTATTAGGAGTATAACTTTGGTATATTTACCCTGATTCTAATACACTCACAAAAGGCCAAACAGAATTCCATCAAGTACCAGCAACTTTACAGTAATAGCTGGACAACATTTTTAAAATAAAGCCTCTGCCATGATAGTGTTCAAGAGGCTCGGACATGGACACCATATAAATCACAAATTCTACTTCAATTTATACAAACACCACAAATTTAAAAAAATGTTTATAATTTCTATGCAAAAAATTTTGAATTATTGTTGAGGCTCGGAATTGTTTTCCATTGCTAAACAAAAATATATGATTGCCATGGCTGCAACCACGATGTCAAATTTCCGGGATGCCTTGCCAAGATACAAATCATTTCATTAAATCTTTGGTATCAGCATCCGAAAAAACACAACGATATCGTCACGGCCTCTTTAATCTCATTGCATTTCATTAGAGCAACATGTATTTCCAGGAAAAATGGGGCTAAAAGGAGGCTGAGAATTTTCACTATTTATATACTCATCACAAGGGAAAGGATATAAAAACGCCATGGCTGCTTCTAGATACCCACCAAGCCACGCCAAGATACGTTTTATTTCCTTAATTTTGGCAAACACTTAAGAGAAATGTATAAAACCATTCATCACAGCCTCTTATTTATTAAAACAATTCCAGCTTCATAAATGAAATAAACCATGGCTGCAGAAATATGATGAAATCACTAAATTACAAGACATGCCATGAACATGGTCCCTGACACTCCCTGTACTACACAACAAATACCCATTACAAGTGGTAAAGACCAACAAAGTCAGTTCTAAGAAGGCAACTCAGCATATATTATCACTGCCATTCAAGTCATAGAACGTAGAAAACATCTCTTCAATAAAATTGCTGTCTTAAAGTTGTAATGCAACACACTCCATTGGGTGTATAAATACCATTCCACTCTAACACACTACACACCCTTCCACTTTTATATTATTCCCTTAAATTCCTTCACTACACTGATTTCGTAAAAATTTGCCTTATACTTTTCAAAAAATGCCTGCCCTTTGGACGAGGTTGATGGATTTAAAACCATCTACATTTCATGCCAATCTAAAATTAAGATTAATTCATTCCTACGATATGATGTCCTACCGGAATGCTGGAGAAGTTTATGCGCGGGAGTGAATTTTTCACGATAATGAGGTATTTTTCTTCAAGACTTTTGTGGCTATCCACTTTCCGAAAATATATTAATTATCTGGAAAAAAAATTCAGGGGAACCACATCCTTGCAATCTCTAAAAAGGAGGATACTATTACGTTTGATATGTAATCTAAGAAATGAAATCGCCATGACTGCAACGGGGATTAATTCTATTACGTCGTGCCAAGATACGTTCATTTTGTTTGAATGCCTAAAACATTAAAAGCCTGAAAATCACAGTACCACTTTTCAAAGTCCTTCCATATCATCACAGCCCTATATTCATACACACACACAAAATGAAAACTTTGAACAAAGGCCAAAGAGCTGGGAACAATGTTCACATACATATATATCACATACATATATATTAACACACATATGGTATACGCATATTAAATTTAATAAGAACACACATTATTTGTTTCATCTCATTGTAGAACATAAAATATTATTTTTCATTTGAAAAAATATATATATTTTCATGGGTAATATCTAACAGTACACAAAATAAGATTTAAAAAATGTTCAGAAATATCATTTTTATATATTAAGATTTATATCAACAGGCCACAATTGAAAATTTCTTACTGCAAGTACTACTCTAAAAAAAATAAAAATAGGATTAACAAATTAGGAGATTAAGAAATAATTCTATAATTAAATAGACACAAGGGAAAAGGTTCATCATAATTAGTTCAAACATGTAATCATCCATTCATGAATAGTGAAGTGCTCTAGCTGGCAGAGCCATTTTTTACTTCGGTGTTTAAGTTTCCTGAGGCTGGACATGTAGCTGTAATTTTTTTTGTAAATAAAATCACACACAAAAATATATGGGGAACACAAATATATATATATATATAATTCTGAAAATTATATATATAAATCGGGTGATCTAAATATGCGTTTTAACACATCTTAATGAAAAAAACATTAAATCAAAACGGAGCCCAAGATATCCAAAAAAACGATGTGAAAAAAAACAATAGCATCAACGAAAATAAAGAATCGGCGCACATGGAAATCAAATAGTTTAATAATCAAGGAGTACAATATATGAGAGAGAGAGAGGGAGATAGTTCACGGCCGGTCCTGAGGATTCATCGGCCTGGGACGAAACAGAAAAAAAGCCCTAAAAGTCAATTGTTTTTTTCTTTTTCAATTTTAATTTTTTTTATATATATCATAAATTCATATCAAATCGAAAACTTTTCAGTTTTTATTTTTTTTCTTTGTCGTCAATTTTTTTTAGTTTTCAGTTTTTTATATACAAATACTACGGAGTATATCATAGACTTAAATCAATTCATCCAAATCAAATAAGTAACATATAAAACCATTAATTCACTCTTTTTCATAGCAATTAACAAGAATTTCAAATTAAAAATTAATAATTAACCCTAGGTTTTAAATCTAAAGAATGAAACAATGAAAGAAAATTAAGAAATACTAGAATTACAAAATTGGAAAGCTATGAATATGGAAATACGGAATACCTGGAGGCTGGAGCTTGGGGGTCGGCGTCTGGCGGTGCGTCTGGCGGCGGCGGCTTCTTCCGTTCTTCCGTCAGTAGTTCCGTTCGTGGTTGTCCCGGCCTTCTTCCGTTCGGTTCTTCTTCCGTGGCTATGTGCTTAAGTAAAAGTGTAAGTAAAAGGATGGATTGGAGGATTGGGCTTTACATATTGGGTGGGCTTCTTATACATATACATACATATATATATATATATATATATCGGTACGGTTCTACTGCCACTACAAAGGAGTGGCATCCCAACCCACTGATCATCACAACCCTCCATCTCATCTTAAGTGCAATCCAATGGCTCCCAATCTTTACTCACTTATTAGACAAAAAAACGCCGTCTCCATCTCTTATCCGTCAATCTCATCCATCGAGACTGAGCCGTCATTCCCAACACCAACGCCTGGCCTCTTTGATTCTCTCCATGGCTGCGAAATTTTGAGTCGATCTCCCTCTAAGTGTTGAGATATTTGATTAAATAATCAAAAGAAACAAAAAAAAAAAAAAAAAGAAATCAAAAGAATCAAATTGCGTGTGGATTTTTTTGATGGAAGGGAATCAAATTTTGGACTCTTGTGCTTGTGGTCATTTGCAGGAGTACTTCCATTGGCTTTAAAAGCCATGCATGGTCTTCTTAGTAAGTATACACACGGCTAAAGAAAAAGAGGGAAAAGGTGTGAAGAGAGAGGTGCTACACAAGATATATCACCAATATTGTGTGAGTGAGTGTAGGGAGTAACTGGTTTTAGTTACTCGAAAAAATACATCCGGGGATAGGGTGTGAAAAGTCTGTTTATAAGTGTCTGGTATTTAGCACTTGTAAACAGGGAGAGTTTTTTGTGTATCGTTCTGAAATAGTGAAGATATAATTTTTCTCTAATATTTTCTTCTTGTGTATTGTGTTTATTTATTTTTCAAGTTCTCAATATTTTTCGGTATATTACGCGCTTAAAATCCCAAGAATTGGTATCAGAGCCAAGTTACATTTGGGGCGGAGGGATTTCTAAGCGGTAAGAGAAGAAAGTCGAAGAACTTGAAAAATGGCATCGGTGAAAAGTTCGAATGTTTCCGTCGAACCTTTCGATGGACGTGGTGATTTTACTTTGTGGCAACAACGAGTAAAAAGTGTTCTTACTCGGGAAGGGACAATCAAAGCTCTGAAGGTGAAGGTTCAGAGGACAGAAAAAATGACGGATGCTGAGTGGGCCAAACACCGGAAGAACGACAAACCGGAAAAATTGTCGGAAGAAGAGTGAGAGGATTTGAAAGACATGGCAACAAGTACAATATGCCTATGCCTTGCAAATAATACTCTTCGGGAGGTTCTCGGTTTGACGGACCCGGTGGATATTTGGGACAAGCTGGAGAGCCGGTACAAGTCGAAATCGTTGACAAGTAGGCTATACTTGAAGAAACGATTGTTTGGTCTCCAAATGGCGGAGGAAGCTAACTTTAATGGACACTTGGATGAATTCAACAAGATTACAACAGAGTTGGAATCCATTGATGTGAAGATTGAAGAGGAGGACAAGGCGCTGCTTTTGTTGGCTTCATTGCCTTCATCTTTTGACAACATCGTGACCACGCTTTTGTTTGGAAAAGAAACCTTAAAATTTGATGAAGTAGTTGCTGCGTTGTTGATGAACGAGACTCGGCGGGGTGGCAACGGGGTATCAAATGACGGTCAA